GATTTTATATTAATTATTTACTCACTCTGTAATTTAGAGGATCATTTGACAATCTTCTTTTCATGGTAGCAGAAGGGCAAACTATTCGTGCAATAGAACAAAGATTTACAAACAATGAATAAAATATAAATTCAAAACAAAAATGTGTCATATAGACCTCCGGAAATTAGGAAAATATTTTGATTGACTGCTTGTTGCTTTTTTAACGTCAAGTTAACAATATTTCGGGACGAGAACAAATTAATGATTAATCTTATAGGTAAGTTTTGCGATGGATTGACCGGATTGAATGGCAGACGTTTTGGCTGCTGCTAGAAATAAGGTTATGTTAGATAGGGACAGAAATGTTGTGTTTCAACAAATCACCTCGGACCCGTCTAAGAGTTCTTAACAAGCATTCAGAGTGGCACTCTCCTTACACTAGGTATCATATTTAATCTCCCCAAAAAGAAAGTAACATATCCTGCACAGCCACATGGATTTCCCTCCCTGCATGAATTTAAATGACGTGTGGGCAATTCCATATATCTTTACACCAGTCGGGCCGAGTCGGCCCTTAGTACAAAAAATATTTTAAACAAAATATAACAGGTACTACTTAATGAACATACAAGGACATTTCTTGTTTTCATGCAAAGATATGATTATCTTCATCTTTACTGTCTCAGGAGATTCTTGGGTCTGAGAAGCCAAAAGATGTAAGTCAACATAATCATGATTATGCTACTTTTAATCTTTTGGGAACGCAGTAAAAAAAAAGATATTCAATTGTGATCATTTTGTCAAAACCATGTTTTCGAACATTTAGTGTTTTGAGGTATCTAAATGTGCGATGGGCAGGGTAAAGTTGGTGGTAGTGATAATGGTAGGACCAGACTTAATACCAAACTTTTTTTGGCAAAACAATATGGACGAAAATGCAACAGATCCTGTCAAATATTACGCGGAGCAATAATTGTCTTTTGAGTATTTAGTAGAACTTATTTCTAGTTAGCAAAACTCTTAAAAATTAATTTTGTTGAATTCAGTCATTATCATAGAATAAATCCTTCTGTTTTTTATTAATTTCAGTTTCTCAGTTTTTATGAACAGTACGTATCTTTGATATGATTTCAGGTATTTTGTAAAATTCTTGGACTGCATATTTCAAACTATTAAGTCTCTAACATTAATTCTGTGCACTAATTAGAATAAGAATATTTGAGTAATTAGTGAGAAGAAAGCCATAATAATCACTTGATAACGTGACCTTAGAGTCGAGTAGGCATATTAACCATGCATCGTCTTGAAACTAGCTTGTTATTCGCCAACAATCGGTTTACTTTTTATAATAGGCCAACCGGAATGAAAAGAAACACACTGTAAAATCCAAATGATGCTCTGGTGTCTATCAAGCATTTTCTTGGACCGTTACATGTCCACTAGATAGCACAGCCATAACAACAAATGCTAGCCTTAAAGCAATACTTTAAAACGCTGAAAATGGATAAAATCAAATTCATCTTTTACAAAATGATCAAATTTTCTCTCCAGTTTACATAAATGGAGATTGATGTTTTCCTATTGGTGATAAAAGTCTTTCTTCAAATAAGAAAATAAACATCTTGACAAATTATTCACAGCAATTGTTTTAGATATTAAGTATGCAGCGAGATATTTTCTAATTTATCACATAATTGATCGAGATGTCGGCAGTTTTGAATATGTCATATCAACAAAATCAGCCAAACATTCTATTTCGATATTTTACAGGAGCAAGATAAATTCGCAACAGAGCAGGATATCATGTTTTTCTTGCCGTGTAAAGCAGGATAGCATCAAATTTTTCTCGGTTCAATATCACATAAAAAATTACTTATGACGTCATTTCTGCAATCCGTCAATAAAGATTGGGTTATGGCGGAGCAGTAAGACATTCCGGAATGTTTAGTTTGAAAACTAATCATAAATATACCGAATTATTTATAAGGATAGTGTGCCAATTTTCATTTACAGAAATTCTGCGACAAGTTTGCTGGATTAGTTTTAACAGAATTGTATTGTTGTTTTTGTCATGATTATTAAATTATTTCACAAGAAATAAATTATTATTGATACACACAAATAAGTGATGATTAGATAAATGTATATCTTTCCCATATCTGTCATGCTATTAAAGCTCCCACTGGCATATATCAACATCTCCGGCTAATAACAGGGCAAATATTAAAGTCATATGGAACGAGTTTCTTGTAATTTTAATGTTTTGGAAGTTATTGAACTAATGCATGCATATATATACTACACTAAGTCCTGTATGCACGTTTTTTAATATTTATTACGAATCTATAACGTATTATCGACAAATGATATTTCATTCAGTGACTGTTGGTCGCAAGCTAATTAACTTCCGAGTTTGTTGCCGAAGTTTATTCAATTGTTACATTGATAAACAATCAACACAGAGCACGTGGAGCACGTGACAAATACGTGAATTGATAAAGCCATGATATTTATTTTAATATTTTCAATGCGTTCCCATTTTTTGATAAAACTTTTCCTTAACAGTTGTTAAACAATTTGCTGTTTAAAATTTGTTCTTTAAGAATCGGTTATTACCATTTACCTTCCAGTGCACGTTTGTTTACATTCTTTCATCACAGTGTTTCCCCCTTCGCACTTGCGCTGTGCGGTGGCCAAAGTTCTAACGAGAGGTCTCGTAGTCAAGGTTACTGCATACGAGAAAATATCGGCGAATTAGTGTACGGGAAGACAATAATTCAATAGCCGTACATTTATGAAGATTTTAAATAATATAAAGGATTTTCTATTACAAGAAACTTCACGTACACTTGTTTTATAGTAAAACTTAGCCGTTCAAGTATATGAACATATTGGACGTTTTTCTTCAATTTGTTTAAGGCATATATTAAAGTCATATGATACTTCAAATAAATCAAAAAGATGAACTTCTTTTGTATATTTGAATGGTTAAGTTTTACTGTAAAACACGTGTTTATACACTTTTTTTAAAGGTGCATTAGCTACGAGAAATAGAAACAAAAATTAAACTATGATTTTTTTTGTTCAATCATTAATGAAAGTTAAATAGTGATGTAATAATTCGCTTTTAACAGCCAGTTTGGTTCAATTTTGTCAAAATAAGCTAACAAACATCGCTGATGAATTATTCACTTGCAAGTGAATAATTCGACTTCATTGAATCCGTATTCATGTGACATTCAATTTAAACCCTTAGCTAGAGATGGGTTACGCATAAACTAGCAGTGTTCAGTTATTAAAAGTAAAACAATGGCAACTTTGAAAGTGAAACAAGGGTAAACCATTTTGTTGACTGATTTGATCCACAAAAACTCATTCTTATACAGGTAAAAACGATGATTAACATATTGTTTAACCTATAATATGAAATCAAACAGACCTAGAAAAATTAAAATGCACTCGTTCGCTATCTATTTATATCTTTATTTATGTTTATATCGGGTTTTATGACCGTCGGTAGCCTTCGGAGGTCACCTCCATGGTTAATTAGATGGCGTCTAGATTAAAATACACACGAAATGCTGATACACATTATCGAGTCCATGCATCGTAAATTGTTTATTTTAGACTTTTTATAACTTGGATATACGTTTTAATATGTTATAATTCAAATATGAGAATTTGAGTCAAATCGGTGAACACGAATTTAACAGCTTATGCCCCTTAAAAGAAAATTCTTTATTTTATCCAAAACTTCATAAATGTACTGCTGTTGAATAATTGTTTCCCGTACTCTAATTGGCCTACAGCTTTTCCGTATGCAGTAACCTTAACCTCGACCCTGTCATTCGCACCTCATAAATGGCACAACGCAAATGCGAAGGGGAAACACCGTGATTGGAAAACGTATTCAAAGTGGAAGGAATATAATTTTAACTTATTCTGAACGAAAAAGATAATACTCCATATAATTAAACAACTAGTATGACAAAATTTAATTAACAGATTAGAACGTATGGCCAAAAAAAAAATACATCGCACTATCATTTCACTCATTTAACACGTGCTCCATGATTCTGTGTTGATTATTTATCAAGAACACGATCCGTAAACTGTGGTACTAAAATCCGAAAGTTAATAAGCAGCCAATGTTTTCGATCAAACAATAACCAAATGAAATATTTTTGGATTTGTAATAAATGTAAAATGAGTGGAGGGAGGATATTGTTTAGTATATTAAATGCATTGGTTCAATAATTTCCCACACATTAAAGTCAATAGAAACTCGTTTCATATAAGTAACACTTATAAATATCACTCACAATTATGTACTCAACGCCCCAACTTTTCCTCCACTTCAATTTTATTGTCAAAAAATAATTCTCACCGAAACAAGCGCCTTTGTATATGTCCCTTTCCTCGTTCGCCTAGATGTGTTCGGCTTAGAATGAAATACCCGGACGTGTCTTCAGTGCAATATTCTTGAATTGTAATTGAAAATTTTTATCGAATTTTGCAATACTGCAATACAATCATTCATATTTGATATACAAAATAATACTGCACACGATATTCTCATTGACGACTTTCACCAATCATGATAAAGGATCGAATTTGTATTTGCCATAAAAAACACGACTGGTGCCACTTGTAAAGCATGGGATAGTGCGTGTACCTTTTCTGAGCATTTAACGTTATATTCCGGTTTCTGATGTGTCTTTGTCGTTGAGTTTATTCCATTCCAACCATTAGCATTTGATTTTGTCAGTTTTTATGCACTTCCCCTTATTGAATTGGCCTTGGAGTTCAATATTTTTGTTATACTTTTTTTCTATGTAGTGTTTTTATTTTCGTCTTTTCTCGTTCAGCATTTTTTTTCCTGTGTGTGTTTTTTTGTTGTTGTTGAAAATTTAACCCTTTTAAATATCCTATAATATTACTAGTCAATGCAATTCTAAACGATTTATTTGAAATAGCACACATATCATTACAGCTATACCATTACAGGAATTGTCAGTGATAAATTTAGCATACATCATATGTCCGTATAATTAACAAATTATTTATTAAAAGTGACATTTGAAAATGTTAAAACAAAGCTGTCGTAGAGAGTGTGTACCAAAATCGATATGCAGTTTTATTTTCAGTATTTGAACAAATATATTTTGGAATAAAGTAAGACTTGTGTTCCTTTGATGTATCCCTCGGTTAAATTTAACCTTAGGCTGTACCTTTGGTTTTTTTGGTCCCTGCTTGACATACATCTCATCAAGTATTCAATTTGAGTTAAAGATGGAATGATTTTCGTTGGAAAACCAGCGTTTTACTTTCATAATTCTTAATTTTAACGGAAATGCTGACTTTATCATCTTGAATACCATTCCATTGAGAAAAACGTACAAGCAGTTTGTGTTAGTTGCTACTAGAAAAATATGTTTATTCATTTTCTCATAGTTACATTATTACCCATACTTACAAGAAATACTAGTGAATAGAAATTAGAACGTCAAAATAAAACAAGTTGATATACGATTTTGTAACAAAAAAAGTACATTTATCTGGTGTAAAAATATCAAACTGTTTCAAGATCATTTTTATATGTGTAAAAAAGAGGCAGAAGATACCAAAGGAAAATCAAAAAATCATAAATCGAAGGAAAACAAACAATAACATGGCCAAAAAAAAAACAACAAAAAGAAAATCAAGTCTACAAAACACAGAAAACTATAGCCCGAGCTAAATAACGGCCTAACAAGTCCCGGGAGGGTATGCAGATCCGTTTTCTTTAGTGACATTCTTCATGGTGCTCATTTTGGTAATCAATGGAATTCGGTAATGGCACGGGATGGTGGCTATGAAAAATGGAACAAATCCAAAGTAATATGGGACATATATATTCCATAAGGTTACAAGAGCGCTATTATTGGTTTACCTTTTACCAAACCCCAAGATGGTACTAAGAATAGAATCTTGTACGACTTTTGATTGGATAATACAGGATTGGAATTACTTTTAATCGAAAGCTTATCCAATTAGGTTTTAAAAATCCAGAAAATCAAATTCACATTTTACAAAGTATAGAAAATATATTCAATATCTGCACGTTGGCCTTTAAAAATCTGCCATTTTCATTAAGCGGAAAAAATAGCCGATGTTTTTCAACTGCATTTTAGTCAATTTTTACCGCATGACCATATATATTTTTTTGGTTGTTATGTAAAACTGACATTTCTAGTAACAGGAACTGCTACCCATTTTTCCTAATTTGTGTAGTCTTCAAGAAATAAAACATGGAACACCACAGGTACCCTATGGGAAATGCATTACGAATAATTGCGCTCTTGTAACCATAATGGTCAATATTATCATGATGGCGTACGAAAAACCTGCAAATGGATAACTTCAATGTTACCATTTGGAATCCTTGTTTAAATTACTTTTTTGTAAGTCACATTATTAGAGAAATCATCTTACCGCATTGTTTTACCTTATTTTAACTTTATTTTCTATTGTTCATAAATCTTCAGTGTTTCTATATAAAATTTGCTTTTGTTCTCGGTGTTGTTAAACAATCGTAACAGTTAGATAATTCACATGTACCGATTGTTTCGTATTAAGTGATGTCTATGGATTAGACATGAGACATGTATCAATCCGCTATTGAAAGATGCTTATCACTGGAAATGAGGCATCAATGTATTGTAACAAGCAAGAGTAAAACGACGGGTGTCACAAGTGGGACAGGAACCCCCGATTTGTGGTCAGGTTCGTGTGGCTCAATCTTTAGTTTTTGTATAGTTTTTTGTTATTGGTGTTTTTCTTTTCGTCATTTTTCTAATTAGCTATGATGGTATGATTTTATTGGACACGATATTTTTGGTTGAACCTTTAGTATCTTCTCTCTTTCTATTACTGAATGTGGAAGCTATGGTATTTACTCAATGTCTTAACTTTAGACCGTTCAAGTCATGAATTGTTATCGTTTAAAGTTTCAGCTAAAGCCTTCCAGGCAAAGTTGACCTTATTCGGCTATTTTTCGGTCCCTTTTACTATATAGCTCTTCGTGTGTTAAGGTCTTGTAAATCCATTTTTTTCAAATGTGAAGGCAAGTCCAGAAAATGCGCTTCAGACGTACGACATTAATATAAAGTGTTGTTAGATGCAGTAACTTTCAGAAAATGAGCATGAATGAAAAGTCCTCTTTTGGGTTTTAGAATTCGCACATTGCACGATTAGATTTTGCTTAGTCTTCTTGTTATGTCAGAAGGTTTAACACGTTCTGGTATAGTGTATCTAGGTCAAGACACATTACATGTGTAACATATACACAACTATATATAAGCCCAGTTAAAATTTAGCATTATTAACTAACATTTTCATTGCATTGCAAATCATATTTGATTATTTATCGTTACCATTCAAATATTACGATTTGCTGAGATCAGGGTGGTTTCGGAACTTTCCTGGTGTAACTGAATAGCACTCAGAAAACTTTGGAGCGTAAATATTAATATGAAAAAAACACAAGTTGGTGAACATCCAATTAAATGTAAATCATAAATACAGATGTATTTTTATAGTAATTCTTGTGAATGTATATTATGCGTTGACATGCGTACTAAATGTTAATTTAATCAATGAAATGTCTCTCTTATCTCTCGGTCATGGAGTCCCTTCACATCTTTCTTTAAATATTTATTTATTTGATTTTTACTTGCTGTTGTAAAAGTTCTCATATTCTAAAATGTTCTTGGTCTTACGATTCTTAAGTCACATTCTGTGGAATATACTTCATCATAAGTGGAAACGTTCTCTGTTGCGTTGTCATTTGTTGTTGTGTCATGTTGTTGTCTCATTAACAGTTTTGCATCCTCCTTGTCTGGATATATGTAATTTTCCTGAAGGTCAAGATATATTGGAACGTTATTCATCTCGTCTAATTTTGTTTCACAAAGTTTTCCTACTTGTTCATAGTCGCTTGTGTCAATTTGTTCATAGTCACTGTCCCCATTTCCTTCTGTTGTTAGATCAACTTCCGATAGTGCTTCTTCACTAATAAAATCGATTTCGTGAACGGTTTCATAGCTGTTTTCGTTAACAGTTCCATAACTATTTTGGCAGCTTTTAACATCTATGTTTTCTTTTTGTGGAATGTTGTTTTCAATTTTCGGGGTATCAAATGTTCCCTTTTCTCGTCGTTTATAATACGCATAAAAACATACCATAATAAAAACAACTATTAAGACGTTGAAGATGGTCGGTATTATCCACCAATTCAGAAGGTATTTGTGGTCATCCAAACCTATACAAATTATAAATATAAAAGAATCTCACATTGGTCTATTTGCATATCGATTTTTTCAAGATAAATTGATCAAGTTTCTGTATACGTTTAGTCCAGAAGAATCTAGTTGATAGTACCTTTTTTTCATTTCCTGGTATTGGTATGCAATAAAGTGTGTTATATTGATCAGTGATAGACGAGGTAAAATAATATAATGATATTACTTGCACAATTTTTATAAGTGAAATTCATGAGATGTGTAGTGAACGAAACCTCACATGAAGATTGCACATATGGGGAAGTTCGCACCTGCTTTTATGAAATTGTTTGAGGATTTTTCCGCATTTTTCCAGACTTGGTTGCTGTGTATCATATTTGGGTTTCGTTCATTGTTTTGTCCATAAATCAGGCCGTTGGGTTCTCGTTTGAATTGTTTTACATTTATCATTTTGAGGCCTTTTATAGCTGACTATGCGGTATGGGTTTTGCTCGTTGCTGAAGGCCGTACTGTGACCTATTTTTGTTAACTTCCTAGTCATTTGGTTTCTGAAGGATAGTTGTCTCATTTGCAATCATGCCGCATCTTCTTATTTTTAGAGGTATTCCCGTAATAGTGTGGACAACCGAAGTACTTTTGTTGTTAATAATACTGAATCATTTACCTTTAACTTGTTTGTCATCGGCTATCGATAACAATGATTTCACGCTCACTCAGTCTGTCAGAGGCCCTCCAGTGGGGATTTAAATAAACACTTGTTACACATTTCGATACATAAAATGAAACTCTTTTCACAAAACTTTAATGGAATTTGTTTGAAATATTTTTTATATCAGCACACACAACAGTTTCATTTTAAAGAATAGTAAATGTGTCGAGCTAATATAAGATAATCGAAAAAATAATTTACACATTTGGATTTTCATTGTAAAAAAGTCGATGGGGTTAATTCACAAAATATCTTAAGAGAAAAAATACTCCCACGTTGTGATCCCCATTTAAGAGTAACCTACCATTTATTCAGTGCATAGGATTTGTTTGTGAAAAGAGTTCCGGACGATGAAAAAAAAAACATTTTTTTAACTGGATATTTTTCACATGGATCATCGTTTGAATCATTCAGTCAATTGCCTCTGTTCATGTATATATTTATATGTATATCTAATCAATTAAAAGACTTTTCTGTTTTTACAATGCTTTTATGTAAAGGGGAAACTGTGTGTGATCCTTTTTGTCTCTTTGACCAAAGACAGTTAGTCATAAACTAAATGGCAGTACTCGTCGACATATCATTCTTGTATCTCACGAATTTGTGTCTTTTACTTACAAAACTTATTTTATTGTTGAAGAATGAATGTTGCCCGTTTTTTAATAATTTTTTTTTTTTACGTTTGTTTGTGTCTCATTGACATACAACGGGTCCCCTTTTCTTCATATCTAAAAAAATACGAGATGACATCAATACCAATTCATGACACAAAATAACTGAGTTAAACTAACAGCAAAAGAAAGGAAAGGAAAAGCGCTTTCATGGTTGTACTCAATCTCGAAGTCACAATGTGGTCTTCGAAAAAATTGTTTAATAATTTTTGAATGTTCATAATTGGAAAAAGTAACGTTGTGTAAATTATAACAATTATTTCAATTTCAATCCATATTAAGCTGTTGCCTTTTTCCTTTTCGAGCAAATTTTGACCACATTTTAAGAATTAATTTCCTGCATGATACATTTATTATAATATGCACATTTTCATTGCGATCTTAAAAAGGACGAAGTTGATATATAAACTACCGTCAATTATTGTGTGTGTGTGTAAGTTGGGCCGTTTTAAAACAAAAATGAATTGATTCTAAAAAAAAATTGGAAAGGAACAAAAATACTTTGTTTCAGACAAAAGAGGAAAAAAACTAATTGATTTACATTCAAAGTTAGGGACGAAAAAAAATACGACACTAAGATTAAAAAAGTAATGTTCATGTATGTGGGCAGTACAGACGAACGTTCACCTAATTTAACACCAGTCAATGGGAGACTTGAGCGCGCCAAAAAATAGTCTCGTCCACACTGTTTTGAAAACGATACTTGGAATGAGATGAAAGCCAAAAAATCTCCGAAGATATGTAGAGTTCACAATATTGTCTTAAATATCTAACGTCAACCCTTAAATCGGTATGATGTCGAAAAGGTTGCTGTTGATTTAAAAACACATATCCAAATATCTGCCTTTAACAAAATTAAACCTTAGTAGACATAAGTAACCGCTGACAGGGGCAATCAAAACCTATCTTTAGAAGAGGAAACACAGAAAACAAGATAACCAAAGAAAAAAGGACGAAAAGACAAACAAAAGTCCACAAATCAATACACAGAGAACTAAAGATTGAGCACCACGAACCCCACCAAAATCCGACTGTAAATTAAGGTGCTCACGAATGCTCATCAGTTCCTGTTCTACTAGTGAAATCCCCCATGATAATCCTACTAACATCCAATGAGTAATAACTAGTGACAAGGCCAGTGAGCAATAAATAAATAATATTCAGCACAGTTCGCCAGCGAATGTCGTCCTGTGACAAATGTTTTTTTAAATGCTCCAGTATTGACTTTTATCGAAGGACATGGTTATATGAAATGTGCATTTATCTAGATTACTGGTCATATAAAGGCAATCATACATACAAATGGTGATATAAATGTTTGTGGACAACTTGCAAACCTATTACATTTTAATTTAGTTGGCACTAATTCATAATCTTCTAACATTACTCTTTATTATCTATAGTTGTTATGCCAAATATTTGCATCCTTGATATCCAATAATGAGATTGTACCACCAACATAATACGTGATCGGAAATGCCAGCGCACCATTTTCTATCACAAGAAATAGCTTTATAGCATAAATGTTTTAACTGAACGTTATTTGTTTTCCTATGTATCCATTGAATAATCTCGTGAAATAATGTGTTTGCAAGGTCTGACGTAAAATCAAAAATATGCGTTTGTTTGACGTTTACAATAAGTGCTAAAAAAGTTGTTAACCAAAAAACTGAAAAGCAGACAATAGAAAATGTGTTCTTCAATCTTTGGAAATTTCAATGTTTTTTTTCTCAATCCTTTAAATATAATTAATTAAACTGACTGTTGGAAATCAATCGCAAATCGAAGATCTCACGTTATCAATAATCTGGAAAACATACGTTAAAATAAATAATCAGAGAAAACACTGATGATTTTCCCCGACTTTGTACAGTCACGTGATAATGTGGGGAGTTGAAATTATTTTTGATTACTCGAGCATCATCTATCATCAATATGAAGCCTGGCTATGAAACATATTATGTTACCCACAACAATGACATGCTTGTATGTACTCACACTTTCATAACATTTTGAATGAAATTACAAATAGGATGTATCATGCATGCAGACATACTCCCAGTTAATTCATTTATCATATATGGACCAAAAATATATACATGTTTGTCATGTTAAACAAATAAACAAAGAACAAAGAAAGAAATACCAGGAATTCGAAATTCTGCTTGGCACATAACATCTCCAAAGTCATTTGTGACTTTTGCTCCATATTCGTCCAAGTCATCTTTTCCAATTCCAGAAATAATAAGCTGTAGTTTATACCCCTCAATTGGAACCTGGACACCATACAACATGGTCGTTGTATTAATGTAAGACATGTTTTCCGTTTGGTATTTATACGGGTTACTTCTTATTTGTTCAGTTGATTTATACCATTTAATATTACTTATAAAAGGAAAGCTGTGTACTTGTACTGTAACCTCAGCTGATCTATTCTTAACAGTAACAAAACTGTCTTTACATACTGGTATTCCTGTCAAAATACATTCACAAATTCCTGTCAAAATATATTCACAAAAAAATAGCATGAGCAACTCGTAATTTACGTATATTAAGTAGTTTTATAGCAGCAGGATTTGGAACTACATGAAATCCATATATATATATATATATATATATATATATATATATATATATATATATATATATTCATGTTCAATCCAGCCTACTCATGTGTTTATTTTCATTTGTTGAACGTAGTACATGAACATAACCCTATTAATTCCGTGCGTCCTACCGGAATCGGTATTGTTGCTATTTGTTGTAATGGTCAAAACAGGTTGACCAGGCAAATGACAAGTGAAATAAACATGAATGCCATGATGTTTGTTCGCGAGCAATAACATCTTTACGAAATTATTGATGGGTTTCAGTTGCGGAATAAACAAGATTTTCATAATTCTTTTATTCACTAAATACAGTTAAATTCCGTTTAAAATTCTTATATAGCAAAAAGCAGGATTGATAGGAAAGATTGTTTAGCCTCAGAAATTATAAAATAGTAAAATTCTCTGATCCTTTCAAAATGTTAGTTTTTATTGATAATTGAAAAGGCTTATATAATCTTTACACAACAGTACAAAATTGTAAGTGTTGGAATATTTGACACAAGAAACGGCCATTTTACACAGACTTTTTGGAACTTACCTTACCCAAAATAATATTTTACCCATATTAACATTTTTATATAAAACAATTTCAGCAAAACACATTTTTGGATAAGGTCTAATCTTAGATCCAAATTTAAATAACAAGCTCTCAAAATGAGACTATTTCAAAAGCAAAAAAGCTAAAAGTCTTAAGGCAAACATGTAAGAGAATTTTCAAAAATATCAATACTGAGTAATATCTGACATACTAAAGTACAAAGGACAAAACAGTCACATGTCATAGCTACTCCTACCATCACATGACAAAGATTAAAAGACAGGTCGAGGTATATTCAAAGTCATTATTTCCTGATGAACGAGGTCCTAACAAAATGGAAAAAACACGATATAAATTGCATGCGTCCGAAGCACTTTTCTGGATTTATCTTCATAGGGAACGATAAAGCTGAATATTTGAAAATCAGACAGTTGGAGAGCTATATAACCAAAAAAAGACCCTCCTTAAAATAATAGCCAAATCCATCTAAGCTCAACTTTACCTGAAGGAGTTGCAACCTCAGTTTCTTTATAATTTCATTTATAAATGGACAATTTAGGAAAGGTATGTTAAAAACCATGTCATTACCCATACAAATGGTTGTTTTTAAATATATATATATATATAAACTTATATGATTGCATAATTTACATAATATTTGATTTACCTTGTATATTCAGAAATATTATTTTCTTTATCTCGGTAATATGGCCATTTATCTCTTTCCATGCTGTACAAGTGTATGTTCCAAAATCTTCAGAACTGCAAGGTCCTACTTGAGCGGTTACTTTATTTCCAATAATGCTGGAGTTTACCTGCCGTATGACTTTGTCCTTTACACTGTGGATCCAGGGTAACAGTTTGTATGACAGATCACCGGTTAGTCGACACGATAACGTTTTTATGGCGTTGAATCTGCATACACGTTCATTGTCTATTTCTAGGACTGGAACTTCTAGATGGAATGAATGATTTTTGGCTGTGTAAAATGCATATAACACTTAATAAAGTTGGTGTGTTCGTAACGCTTTTCTGGATTTATCTTCATCAGGAATGCTCAAATACGAAAGTAGCCAATGATGAATAAATATTTGAGGACCCATATTACCATAAGGGCCTAACAAGAAAAGCCAAATCCAACTAAGATCAGCTTTGTCTGAGAGGGATGTAAATTAAGATAAATAGGGATAATGCGCTTCATATTTATAGTGTAATTTTAAAACAAATTAGTGTGATCCAATAATTAGAGCCAAAATCAATATGTTCTATTATTAAATTGAAATCATCAAAGGATACACTAAGAAGCAGGTCTCACTGAACAATTCAAAGTTTGGTTACTTTATTCGGCGAGGGAAGAACAAAAAATTTGCGAAAGCAAATTTACAGATCTAACATTGTTGGGCTGATGTTTAGACGATTTGTATATACAGAATGTACACAGCCATGTATCACAATCACTGCTGGTGATCCGATGGATAAATCTGTTGTATAGTTGTCACTGGTTCAGACGTACTTATATATATAACTACTCGTCTAAACATCAGCCCAACAATGTTAGATCTGTAAATTTGCTTTCGCAAATTTTTTGTTCTTCCCTCGTCGGGATTCGAAACTTTGTCACTGGTTCAGTCGTACTTATATATATATATATATATAATAACAAGTCTAAATTGAAAACAACGTTCAAACCTATGATTGCGTTGGATAAAAACCGTAATACGTGTGCATGCAAAACAAATTTCTTGTTAGAGGGGTCTAAATACAGCACAAACAACATTTTCCAAAAGACAAAAAAAGTGAAATATATATATATATATTCCAAATGTCTTCACCATAATCCCATCCTCTTTTCCTCGATTGTGGCGATTGATGCGACTTATCACCCAATTTGTACTTTCAATGATTAACATGAACGGTACAACTAGTGGAGCAGGATTTGCTTACCCTTCCGAAGCTTCTGAGATCACTCCCAGTTTTTGGAAGTGTTCGTGTTGCTCAGTCTTTACTTTGTGATGTAGGAGTTTTGTGGACTTGTTTGTCTTTTCGTCGAATTTCGTTTTTCTTTGCCACGATGTTGTCAGTTTCTCTTCAGCTTATGACTTGAATCTCCCTTTAGTATCTTCTGCATCTTTCTTCTTTTATTCGTATAAATGTATCCCAAATGTTTTGAAAGCCATGAAAAAAAAAGAATATAGGAAACTGTCTGAAACACGAAGCAACTGTGCTCTTCTTCTTGTCGACTTGTTCTTTTATTCATAAGAAACAGACTTCATACAGGAGGATCTCAGGAAGAATGAGAAAGACCTATCATCATCCTGTAACTTCCGCATATACAAATTATGATATCACGATATATAATTCAAAGTTTGGGGACTATGTTGCACGCATCTATACAATCAAACTTGAAAAAGAATACCACAAATACAGATAAATCTACCTCACATCTTCGTTTACATCGGGAAATTGACAACGAAGGCTGGTTGAGAGAAAAACCTCACGACAAAAGTAATCTTTCAATTTCGCCGAGAAACATTTCAGTGGCCCCTACATATGCAGTAATACTTATCATCAACATCTTAAATAATAATTATTTTTGGTTGAAAGTTCAAACAAAATTGAATGACAGAGAGACAAGTTTTAGATAAAATGCAGAACATAATTCTCTCCTGAATACTTTCAAGAAAAAAAGAAGTATTATTGATAGCCGAGTCATCGGCTAAGTATTCTGCGCTTCCGTATTGACAAGATTTATAACATACGTTTCTTTAATTTTCCGTTTATGAATTGAGATAAAGCTGATCTTTGATAAATTTAGCTGTTCGTTTTATACATGTCTCTTTTGGCCATATAGCTCTCCACATTTTCAGGTATTTATACACTATTGGCTTCAATTTTTAGGTTTGAGCATTCCCGGAGAATGTTAATCAAGAAAAGCGCTTAGGACGCACAAAATTATAGTAAATTATTATTTTCATTTTATTGTGTTTTTTTATATGGATATTTTTAATTCTATATTTTACAGGTAAATAGTTATTCTATACAATTGGTTTCATCATGTGACTAAAGGGAAACGAATTAGCGTTTATAAAATGCAATCCAACTAACCGTCTGAACTAACAAATATCCTATACAATGTACCTTTTTAAATCACAAAACAATGGTGGATAATTGTCCTTCACATGGGTACGGATCTAAATAGCTAACTCTCTTGGACAAATGTCAGTACCTTGCGGACAATTCATTATCGCCATATTCTAAACAAGCATCCGTACATTGAGGACGGTTCTTAATCGAAAGACTTAAGACAAGCATCTGTACCTTAAGAACGGTTCCTAATCGCCAGACTCTACACAAGTGTCCTTACCTTGATGACGGTTCATAATCGTAAGCTCTAGACAAGCGTCCATATCTTGAGGACGGTTTTTATTCGCCAGTCTATAAGCAAGCGTCGTACCTTGGGGACTTTACCTTGAAGACGGATCTTAATCGTCACTCTGTTCTAGCGTCGGTACTTTAAAGACAGTTCTTTGATCGGCTCTTGGCAAACGCCCGTTCCTTGAGGACGGTTCTTAATCACCATACTCTAAATAAGCATCCGTACCTTGAGTACGGCACTTAATCGCCAGAACTTAGACAAGCATCCGTACGTTAGGGACGCATCTTAATCGCCAGACTCTCGATACGCGTCTGAATCTTTCGAACGGATCTTAAAAGCGTCCGTACCTTGAGGTTTTTAATCGCCAGACTCTATACAAGCGTCCGTACCTTAAAAACAGTTCTTATCGCCAGACTCTATAAAAAGGTCAGTACCCTAAGGAGAGTTCATAATCGCCATACTCTTGAAAAGCGTCCGAACTTTGAAGATGATTCTGAATCTCGAAACTCTAAGACAATCACCCTTACCTTGATGACAATTCTTAATCGTCAGACTCTAGACAAGCGTCCGAACCTTGAGGACGGTTCGTAATCGCCAGACTCTTAGACAAGCGCCAGTAACTTGGGAACACATCTTAATCGCCATACTCTCGATCAGTGTCCGAACTTTGGGGACGGTTCCGAATCTTGAAACTCTAAGACAATCATCCGTACCTTTAGGACAATCATTAATCGTCAGACTCTAGACAGGCGCCCGAACCTTGAGGACGGTTCGTAATCGCCAGACTCTTAGACAAGCGCTGGTATCTTGGGGACACATCTTTATCGCCAGACTCTAGACAAGCGTCCGAACCTTTAGGACGGTTCTGAATCGCCAGACTCTTAGACAAGCAAACGTACCTTGAGGACGGTCCTTAATCTCCAGACTCTTAGACAAGCGCCAGTATCTTGGGGACACATCTTAATCGCCAAACTTTAAACAAGCGTCCGTACCTTTAGGACGGTTCTGAATCGCCAGACTCGTAGACAAGCACACGTACGTTGAGGACGGTCCTTAATCTCTAGACTCTTAGACAAGTGTCCGTACCTTGAGGACGGTTCGTAATCGCCAGACTCTTAGACAAGCGCCCGTATCTTTGAGACACATCTTAATCGCCAAACTCTAGACAAGCGTCCGTACCTTTAGGACATTTATTAATCGCCAGACTCTAGCACAAACTTATACAAGTCCGTGTTTTGGTGTGGGAAATCTAAAGAAATCCCTTAGATCAAAACTTAAAGTTGCAAGCACACAAATGCATGCCCTGTAGAAGAATATTTCTATGTTTGGTTGAATTTTGTCAAGCTGTTTTCAAGGAGTTGTGGATTTATCAAGTGTGACACGGGCGACGACGTCGGAGAAAGACGACAGAAATCATCACTACGTGCTGCTAAATATTTGCTGTCAAGTGATACAATAAATGTGAAAACAATGGTTTTTTTTCATATGAATCAAGGAAGATGTAGAAAATGTGTTACTGCGACAACACCCAAACAACATACAAAATCTTAAAAGTCACCGTACGGCCTTCAACATGAGCTTAAACAAGTACGCTTATCTGAGAGAATGGACAGCAACAAATGATGGTTTTAAAAGGTACAGGAAGATGGGGCTTAAGGGTTGTGAAATTCGAAAAAGGGGAAATAAAGTAAGAGATAGAGCGGACATAAAGTGGGATGATCTGAAAGAGTTGTGAGAGAGAGCGCTACCGAAGAAGAAAAATCTAGAAGGTTTTGACGAAGGTGAACAGTCGTAGAAGGGTTGCGGGTGGATGGCAGGCTATTGTAGTGTTGTGGATAAGCACGGTCGTACGCCCTCTTTACTCAAATGTCAGATTCATGCCTGTTCATTAAGGTATTGAAATCGCATATATCTTTTGGTTTAGGGACTTGAAACATATTCTCCATCGTTAACTTAAATGTCGTTTGACTTACCATACTGACAGTTTTCTCCAAAATACCCAGGCCTACACATACATGTGAATTTATTTCTTTGGTTTAAACACCGTCCTTGATTCTGACACGGTTCCGAAACACATTCGTCGATATCTTTAAATATATAAATTTGACAAATTATATTCGTGTTAACCAAAGTAGTGTATATTCATTAACTGATAAATTGCATTTTTTTTAAGTATATATTAATGCAAATGAAATTTTACAATTAATCAGAACTACAAAATTAAAAACTTGCTATGCATATTAACAAAAAAGAAAGATCTCTTCTAAATACGTTCTTGTGAGAGAAGATAAACGAGATAAGGTTGTGTAAACCAACAAATTATTTTGCAAAGATCAATTATTTTAAGCATTCTAAAATTAAAAAATAAATCAAAGTTATTAGCAAACCTATCAAAAGAGCTGACGATCGAAATAATCCTCAGATGATGACAGCATATCGAATGCCATGCTCTCCACATAAATAGGTATAGAAAACACTTGCACATTTTAAAGATCTCAATAAGTTCATCTTCCGTTCGTCTGAATACCTTGTTTAATCGGCACATACAGGTTCGTTTGGTTAGTTGAAAGATCTTGCCAAATATCAAAAGTACTAACACAGTTTGGTTTAGAGTTCCTCTTTACTGGCGTAAAACACAAGGCTACTTTGTTTTCATCAGGGTTGTAAAATTCTACAGGAAAATCTAGCAACGTTTGCACTTGGCATGTAAGTTTAACTTTGCTCCCTTGCAT